AGCTTCATTCTCACGCTTGCTTCTTGTAGTTGGGCTTCCTCCCAACGGATAACCTGGTTCTCTTTTGTGGGGGTTCAATTGATCTTGGATCCTGAGCACCTAACCCCTCAGTAACAGTTGTGGTGATCAAATCCTGTCTCTTCCCCCTGCGCCGTGGTGGCTCACTTCCAGTTTGAGGCTTGCATCCTCGTCCTCTACCTGGCTTAGGTGCAGTGGGAGGAGTGCTATACTGGAAACCGACGAAATTGCAGGCAATGGTGGCACTGCATCAGAAGTATGACCAGTTCCTACACCAGAATCTCCTTGACCAATATTCTTCAAGATAGAAGAATCACATAAAGAATCATCATGACCTGAAATAGCAGAAGAGCAAGAAAATGTCCCCTTATCTGATCCAGAATCTAATTTGCCTGTTGCATTAGATGCTAAAAGAAGAGGAGCAGGTGCTGATGAAGTTGGACCCATGCTGGAACAGGAGGATGCAACAGCAGGAACAGGGCAAACTGAACTTAGTTCCATGCATGCAGAAGATGATGCAGGAACAGGAGCAGGTAAGTCGTTGGAAGTTAACTAAAGAAGAGGGATAGGTGACGCAGAACTTGGTTCCGTGCCAGCCGAAGGTGAAGTATGAGGCACAACTGAAATTGCATTAGCTTGCTGAGTAGCTTCAGTCTGGGCAGCAGAGAAGGAAAGATGGTCTTCTGAATGGTTTTTTGAGGATGAATGGACTGCAGGTGAAATTGAACTAGGGTCCTGGCTGGAAGTAGATGATGGAATAAGAGGAACAGTCGAAACAGAGATTACTTCCTTGCTAGTGGAAGATGATGCAAGAGGCATCATAGAAACTGAAATTCAGTTCCTTATTAGCATCTCTCACGGATGCAGGAGCATGACCAAGTTCTTTTGAACCCAAACCTGCCACTACCTGTGACACCAGATCAGGCTTTCCCATTGAGGGAGGTGTTGGAGGCATATGGTGACTTGAAGAGCTCAAAACATTCACACCTTGTGCTGCCGAGACAGGCTCACTTATTGCTTGAGTTGGAGGGGAGAGAAACACCTCTGTTGTAACACTCTGTCGTTTCCCTCTACGCCCTGGAGCTTCTCCTCCATTTTCAACCTTCCGACCTCGCCCTCGACCTCGACCTCGCCCTCTACCTCATCCCCTACCCTGCTCACTTGTAGGAGGACAAGGAGGACCAGACAGAGAAGCAACAGAAGGAACAATTGACTGATGGCTAGGAGCAACAGCAGTAGCACTCTCTAAGATAGTTGCACTGGTACTTTCCACAGAGGAAGCACAAGGAATGGACAGGCCCAGAAGTTGCCTAATGCAAACATGCAATTTTGTACCCGATGATCTGTTGCCTTAAGTTTCGGCAGTAGTCTGTCCAACATTTCAAGCTTCGCACAAATCCTCACAATGTTAGGCAGATAATGCTTAGGAATTAACTCGTGAATCTGACATATAAAACAAAATGATCAGATAACCAAAAGGGACAACTCCCCACCTTTCAACAACTTCGGAAGATAAAAAACGAGCTCAAAATATATGTTCTCAAATCAAAAGCAGTAGCAGAAGCACATGCATGATATTTTCCAGTTATACCTGCACTTCACATCAATTTCAAGATCATAAAGATGCTAATAGAAGAGGGAGAGCCATACCTCCTCCACATGAAGCTCGCTAAGATACGGATGATTGCAAATATTGCGTAGCTCCATAACAGAATTGTGGACTGAGCGAGCCTAAAAAGGAAGAATGTGGTCAGAGGTGAAAACATAATACCTGAATAAGCATAGTTTCTTTTTCTTTTCTTATTTTGATAAATCAAAAGAGTTTGTTCATAATATGCACCAAGGTAAAGGTTGCTTGCTTTACATGGTTACTGGCAAAAGAAGCAGTACTAACACAAGACAACTTAATTAAAAGAGGATTCCACCTGTGTTCTAGATGTTACTTATGTGGAGAGAAGGCAGAGACAATTAGCCATCTTTTTACGGTACAAATATGGAGAATCTTCATCAGCCTAAGAGGAATCTTACAATAAGCATAGTTTCTTTTTCTTCTCTTATTTTGATATAACATATTGCATATAAGTTATAAAAAGTTTGTCTTACCAGATTCCCAAAGCCCCAAAACCAAATCCATAAAAAGGAAAAAAGGCAAATTTTTAAAGAAATTGATACGAGATGAAATTCGTATCGAGAAATGTTATTCAGACCTTGTGACAGATTTTTTAGCATTATATTCGAATCCTTCACTTGCATCGTTACAGGACTCTGATTAATTGCTCCAGGAAGAGATTTCCACTGTTGCCTCAAGGGTAAACTAGGCAAGTTACTATCAGCATGTCGATTTCCTTGAGCATTGCTATCAGCAGGACAATCTTTCATTAGCAGACCAGATTCATGGGTATTGGCAGAGGCAGGCGGTGATACCTTTGACGCCTCAGTTCCACACTTCCACTCCAACCAATAAGATCGAGCTTCATTTGCATGCTTGTGCCCGTAACAGAGGAAGCTTGGGGAAACATCCATCTAGAAAAGAATCTTCTATAAACCTTGCTGGAAGCACATTGGCTCCTTCACATACCAAACCATAGAACTCCTGGTTTGGTTCTACCTTATGCCAAAACATAACAGATATAAGCAATTACACATGGCAAACAATGAGGAAATAATACATTTTTCTGAATGCAATTGAATGTTTAGAAACTTTCAATAATATAAAACAATCTTCATTTGCGTAATCAAAAAGGAAACTCTTTTATTCATCCACACACTTAGGCTAATGGGATTTGAAACGGAGACCTAATGGTTCTGCTGTCACTTCATTGCAATGTAATATCTTATATCTCAATTTATCTTATATATTACTTTTGTACTTTTCATATAAAAAGAGACAAAAACTTTAGATATATTAATAAACTAGAGTTTAAAATAGGTAGGAAAATAGTTGTCACTTTGATTTGATTAGACAACTCTACTTTTTATTTTTCCAAGTAATTCCTAGCCAACGTTTCAATTCTAGTGCTAGTATCTATTCATTCTTCATATTCCAGAAGATATATCTTCTTCCTTCCTCTTTATTCATGATTCATGCTCATATTCTTAATTCTTTCTACTGGATTTCTTTCTTTCTCCAAGATTCCAACAATCCGACAACTAGATATCTTGGAATCAAAGTCTTCAAACTTCTTGAATGAGTCAGTCATTGGTTAATATCATTCTAACTTTCTAGTATTATTTTTATTTATTTATTATTATTTTATTAATTTTACTCTGTACATATTGTTTAATTTTTTTTAGAATATAAATATGTCAACAAGAAAATATGCATTTGGTTATTCAAAAATACAAAAGAAAAGAAAAGTTAAAAATTTAATAAAATCTCAAAAAGGAGCTCTTGACAAATTTTTGACAAACAATGAAAAATAAGGCCCCATATTAAACTTTTCCCTTAGGCCCCGTATACGCTTAAGTCACCCATGCCTATGCACATCTTCTTGTACCTCTCTCACAGTAAGTCGTAACGACCCGACTGGTCGTTTCACTTTTTAGAACCCCGTTCCCCTAAATAAGACTTCATGCGCTTGCTTTAACTAATTTACGACATGTGGGCATGGTTGGTTCGGGATTTGGAAGAGTATGGGTTGAAATAGGCACACTTGATTCCCTAAGATTTCTTAAAAAGGCTAAGTTTGACTTTGTTCAACATTTTTAGTAAACGGACCCGGACTGGCATTTTGACGGTCCCAGAGGGTCCATAGGAAAATATGGGATCTGGGCGTATGCCCGGAATCGAATTTCGAGGTCCCTAGCCCGAGTAATGAATTTTTGTTAAAAATTGGTAAACTAAAATTTTCAAGGATTTAAAGAATTTAATAATGTTGGATTATGATGGTATCGGGCCCGTATGTTGGTTCCGGAGCCCGGTACAGGTCCAATATAATATTTAAGTCTTGTCTGTGAAGTTTGGTGAGAAACGGGACTGATTTGACGTGATTCGGGCGTCCGGTTGTAAAAATAGGACTTTTAGTGCTCTTAAGGATTTCATGCGTTTTGGAGTTCAATTCGTAGTTTTAGATGTTATTTCGGCGATTTGATCGCTCGAGCAAGTTTGTACAAGGTTGTTGGACTTGTGTGGGTGTTCGGAGTGGAGCCCCGAGGGCTCGGGTGAGTTTCGGGCATGGGTTGGGGGTGTGAAACACCCCAGTTTTTTGGTGTTTCTGTGAGAGGTTGCAGGTCTCGCAAATGCGAGGGATTGTTCGCAATTGCGGACCTCGCATTTGCAAGGAAACCATCGCAATTGCGATGAAGGCAGGCGGTGGTCAGACGTCGCATTTGCGACAATTTCTTTGCAATTGCGAATCCTACAAGGTCCGCATTTGCGATCCCAGGATCGCATTTGCGATCAAAGCAGGAGGGGGGCCAGTTCGCAATTGCGAAGCTTTTGTCGCAATTGCGAGTTCGCATTTGCGAACCTGATGTCGCAAATGCGACATCAGAGGCCTGGACACTGCTTTTAAAAATGGGACTTAGGCCATTTATTTCATTTTATCTCTACACTTGGGCGATTTGGGAGCTTTCAAAGAGGGGATTTCAATATAGCATTGTGAGGTAAGTTATTTCTACTTAATGTGAGTTTAATACTTGGGTTTTGGGTAGATTAACACACAAAAATTTGTGAAAAATCATGGGATTAGAGCAAAACCTAGGGTGTTGATAAAACTTAGATTTTACCACGAAATTTGTTATGGAATGAAGTAGAAATCATATATTATTGATCCTTAGATTATAGAGAACAACTTTCTTCGAAAATTTTTTCGGAATCCGGACACGTAGGCCCGGGGTCAGATTTAGGAAACTTATGATTAAGGTTGGAAAATTACTTTAGTAATTAAAAAGCAAATTCTTGAGCTTGTATTGACTAGTTCCTACCTTGTTTAATTAGTTTTGGATCGTTCGGCTCCAAATTGAGGGTTTGAGCACGTTCTTGATATTGGAAGTACGCTTTGGAGCGAGGTGAGTCTCCTATCTAACCATGTAAGAGGGAATTGTCCTCATAAGTATAATAATTGAATAATTTGCCACTAAATGCAGGGGCTACGTACGCACTAGGTGACGGGAGTCCGCGCGTAGCCACTATTATGCTTAAGTCCGGGTAGTCTAGGACCCAAAAGCATGCTTTATGTGATATTCTTGTGACTTTATGGTTAATTTGGATTGCTTAAACAATGTTGAATGTGGTAAATAAAAATTAATACGAGAAACGTCATTTTCTTGATCTTTTAAAGAGGAGTTGACATATCTGTGGGTAATTGCTCCCCTAATATATTCTTGTCTGCATGTTTGTTGTTCTTAATTACATTTGACCGCGTCACATGTATGATTCGCGAGCGGGATATTAGATGCATCTATGGTTCGTGCCGTTCGACCCTCCGGTAGTGCACACTATACTTTTATGTTGGATCGGGCCTTACGACCTCGGCACTACTTGCGTATGCTTCTTGCTCGGTATATTACTGTGGACTGAACTTGTTTATATGCCCTGAAATGTAAATGGCTAACTGTGATATTATCTAGGAAAGGACCTGTTACTTCTTGCTATAAGTTGTTAATTATATGTGCTATCCATGCTTAGTATAACGCTTTCTCATATTATTTGACCCTAGTAAGTGTCAAGTCGACCTCTCGTCTCTACTTCTTCGAGATTAGACAAGATACTTACTGGGTACATATTGTTTATGTACTCATACTACATTTCTGTACTTAACTGTACAGGATCTGAGGCAGGTACATCTGGTTACCAGGCTGGTGCATACTCTTGATCCGGCCCGAGATTCCACGGTGAGCTGCTCCCTTCCTACGCCGTTCAGCAGCCCGATGAAGTCTTTCTTTACTTTTGGCTGTCTATTCTATTTCAGACAGTAGGATAGATTTATTCTTTTATATATTCTACTAGATGCCCACATACTTGTGACACCAGGTCTTGGCACACACATTAGTAGACTATTTTGTGTTGGGATTGTATAACTATTATGGTACGATGTTAATTATCGTTTGTTTTTAATTCAAACCTAGAGATTCTGGTAACTGTTTTGTAAAAAGTAAAACTAGAACTTATTAATATTTTCGCGTTGGCTTGCCTGACAAAGGTGTTGGGCGCCATCACGACCTGAGGTGAAATTGGGTCGTGACAACATGGTATCAGAGCACTAGGTTCACGTAGATCTCACAAGTCATGGGCGCGGATCGGTACGGAGACGTCTGTATTTATCTTCGAGAGTCTATAGGGTGTTAGGAAACTACTCTTTCTTCATTGCCTATCGTGCAGTGGTTAGTACACTAAGTTTCCCCTCTTTTATTCTCTCACAGATGGTGAGGACGCGCACAGCAGCTGTTCCAGACCCGGGAGGAGCTGCTCCCCCTGTTGCTAGAGGCCGAGGCAGAGGCCGGGGGAGGGCACTGGCCCGAGGTAGGGGACGAGGGCGTCCTAGAGCTATTGCAGTAGCACCACCGGCGGAACCTGTGAAAGATCCCATCATTGAGGAGCAGGGCGAGGTGCCTGCTACTGAGCCTACCCCGGCGGACTTCATGACATCACCGGGATTTCAGGAGGTCATGGGCTGTGTGCTGCGGCTCATGGACGCCATGACTCGGGTTGGGTTATTTCCAGCGGATCCAGCTATATCACAGGCAGGAGGGGGAGCACAGACCCCTACTGCTCAGGCTCCTGGACATGCAGCTGCAGTGTATCAGACTCCGGGTGCACTACCCGCGGATGGGGCTCTACCAGTTGCTGCAGTGGTGCCCGAGCCCAGACCAGTTGCGGATGGTGACCCGCAGAAGTTGTTAGATAGATGGACTAGACTTCACCCTCCTATCTTTGGGGGTGAGCGTCATGAGGATGCCTAGGACTTCATTGATAGGTGCAGGGACAGACTGCACAACATGAGGATATTGGAGTCGCATGGGGTCGACTTCACTACTTTCCAGCTGGAGAGCAGGGCTCGCAGGTGGTGGCAGTCGTATGTTCTTGGCAGACCAGCAGGTTCTCCTCCTCTCACTTGGGGTCAGTTCACACAGTTATTCCTGGACAGGTATATTCCACCCCCTGAGAGGGAAGGGCTACGGTACCGGTTTGAGCAGCTGGAGCGGGGACAGATGTCCGTGACCGACTATGAGGCGATGTTTTTGGAGTTATCTCGCCATGCACTGATGATAGTTCCAACTGATCCATAGAGGGTGCAGAGGTTTGTTGCAGGGTTGCATTCTGGCATTAGAGCTAACATGGCCCGAGAGGTGGAGATAGGGACTCCTTATCAGCTAGTGGTGGAGATTGCTCGGAGGATTAAGGGCTACCATCTGAGAGGTAGAGATCAGGCGTAGCAAGACAAGAGGGCCCGATTCTACGGAGAGTTCAGAGGTGCCCCGGCTAAGGGCAGAGGTCAGTTTGGGAGGGGCCAGCCTAGTAGGCCCCCCATATTCAGCACCACCACCTCCTCGAGGTGCTCTAGCGCGCCCCTATTTCAGCGCCATCCTAGAGAGTTCCTACCGTCCGCCAGCTATTCAGGGTTCTTCCAGTGGACATTTAGGTCCCCAGGGTTCTTCTGGTTCCTATTCCAGTGCTACGCCAGAGAGTTCATACCATCCTCCAGCCATTTCGAGTTCCTCCTGTTCATGTGTCCTCTCCTGTCGGCAACTCTGTAGTGCCACACCTCCTTTTTCCTACTACACCCCCGAAAGAGGGTATAAGTAAAGGGAGTTATTTCCAACTTGAAGTGACAATCGAAACGGGATTCATTTTATCAAAAATTCAG